GCCCCCAGGTTATGATAGTTCATTATCATAACCATGTTAACACATATAATGAAGATACATACATTCACAACTGCTAAACACTTAAAAAGGTGAAATTGAGACACCTAAGTCAGCCATGAAAATGAATGCATGTAATCAATATAAAATAGATATATAAAAGTGAGACAAATGCCAGATCTCCTAGGCTAGATCTCAGGATATCATGTCCAAATCACAAAGATACTACACAGACAGAAGGTCCTGGAGATGACATCTTGTCATCATTGGGAAACATAGGAGCTGTGAGGCACAAAGCAAATCAGGCATCAAACTTAGCTTCTCTTCTTTCTGTCTATGATGCCTCCCTCAGCTCCGGATGATTCGACTGTCTTTGACTCTGGGAATTCTGCTCCACTGGATCAAGTAGTAAGAGAGTACCTCACCATAGAGGACACAGCACTGTACTGGTACTTAGCAAGTCTCTATCACCAGTTAGGACACACAATGTCTTTGAGCCACACTAAGCTCTAGCACTGGTAGCTGTTTGAGTTCTAAGCTCCCACATATTGATGATGTCAGGAACCTTCACAGGTGTCAGCTGGTGGGTAGTTGGTTTGTGGTTTATTTATGGTTGGTGGGTGTTGGTTGGACTGTGAAACTTCTGCCAGCTCCTCACAAAGGATTTATCCTGTCAAGAAAATAACTCAGAATTAGTCATCACCAAGAGGGTAACATCTTGACAGGAAAGACAGAACAAGCATCAGTCATCAACCCCCATCTGCTTATTCCACCCTGCTCTCCTGTTTCATTCCTCAGAATGCCTCTCCAGACCCGGAGACACAAGTCTCCTATATTCATCTGTCTGTTTAGTGCAAGAGAAGGCAAGTCAGATATACAGTGGAGATAGATAGAGTGTTCTAACACATAAATCACTCTCTCTCTCCCCTCCCCTCTGCACACAGACACCAATATCTACTGTTAGTACATTTATTCCTCAGACTCCCAACGCCCGTCTTATCATTCATTGATCTGGGTCAAACACACTCCACACACTGGCCGACAAAGTCCTGACCTAATTCTGTCCCCATTTTGTATGCACAAACTTCTATAGTTAGTTTAAATAGTACACACTTGTAAGGTTTTCCAGTATGGGTGGGTTATTGAGGGCATAGGCTATTTAGTCTGTACAGGGGAAGGTCTACGTTCGAATCCGCTTCTCTAGCGATCAAGAACGGTCGAACTATGTGTGATCCCACAGCCGATACTGATCTCTCTACAGCAGTGACTACTTTACAGACATCATTTTAGGTACTCGTAAACTATAATTAACTTACCCAAGCATATGCAAAAACTGAGACATTCCAGATCGCCTGGTGAAATTGAAATTATACAGGCATAGATTGACACGTCTGGACGCTTGGAATCGGCAAGAAAGAATGGCGTCACTTACGCACTTCAGGCGTTGGTAAAAAAAGAAGTCCCTAGTATACATGGGCAAGGTGTGCATCGGTTTCTAAGAAACCTCAAATAACTCCTCTAATATATCGAAGATATATACATTTAAAAGTGGAGTTTAGTTAAAGCAACCAGAAAATGTAGACATAATAATGTTGTCCAATAAAGGCTTATACATATAGATATAAGGGACTATATCTTTCTGGGCGAGTCCAAGTTTGAATTTTTTCCAATTACAGGTAAGTCAGGTTACCAGTCTTATGGACCGATGCGTGATGGCTTATCATTCCACGACACCTCCCCTGAGTATTGAGCGTCGGTCGGATCCCCTTGTAACTAATTCCTCGCAGCGTCATTCTTATTAGACCGTAATGATCTATTTGTGCCTCCGCACTGTTCACTCGTTCCCGAAGGACCCTGACAACATCTAGCTTGTCATACATCAGTTCACCACCAAATGCTGCAGACCCGACCAGAACTGTGCTATGTGGAGGCCGTTTTAAGAAAAGTCTTCCATAATGATAGCATGAGATTTCAGGATAAGTTACTATGGATACCATCATTTGCATTTACAGTATTCCTTGTCAGACGCTGATCTCTCATCCTTTCTGCAGTCAGGCCCTCTATCATTCCCACCCCTTCCTGATTTAGCCGCTCCGCGCAACGCGTTCCATAGTTCCTACGAATCCATCTCCAAACGTGTATCATTCATGTCCCGCTTGCACTCTTTTTTTTATATCGTAGTCGAGGTCGGCCTTGACATGTTCTATCTATCTGTAATTCACCATTAGGAATGTTCTTTGGGTTTGGGACTCTATGATCTTCCATTCTGCACTTGTGACCCAGCCACCAAAATCTCAATGGTTGTGATCTTGTATGGCCGCTTAATTCACCACTCAAATTCCATATTCCTTATTAACGCGACTCCCGCCCCCTGTAAAAGCCCTGCCTGCCAACTTAATTATGATTTCATCACGCAGTGTTATTAAATTAAACTGTCAATGAAACCTGCGACCTAGTTTACAGACAGCAAAGGGCATGCCGCCTCAGCAAATCGGTCAGGACATCTGACCCGACGACATTCTGTCCTGCTGGTGGCACGTTTGGACTGTTCGTGTGAACATTATATCAGCACAGAACATAAGGGAGCCGCTGTGATGTAGCGGCTAGACGCTCGCCTGCGTATCAGAAGGTCTTGAGTTCAGGTCTTGACGGAGCTGGATTGTTTTAAAAAATTACCTTAGCTTCCAGGTCGACCCAATCGGAAATGGGTACCAGGTGAAGTCATGGGAAGTAAAGGCGGCCGGTGTGATGATAACCACATCACCGACCAAGTGCAGATTGGTCTATAAAATATAGATTTAACTCTTACATTCCAAAAAATGCCTGAGTGTATGGAAAAGGGTCCTTTATAGGCTATAAAATAAAAATAAACAACAGTCAAGGGTCCTTTTTCACGCCTTCAGGTGTATTGTGTACAAAGGGCTAGATCTTTTTTTAAATAGACCAATCGGAAGATGGTGGGCGATGCGGTCAGCATCACACCGGCCGCCTTTACTTTACAGGACTTTACCTGGTACCCGTTTAAGTCTAGGTCGACCTGGGAGCCAAGGTCGTTTTTTGAAACAAGTCTGGTTCCGTTAGGACCTGAACCCACGACCTTCCGATCCACAGGCGAGAGTCTAGCCGCTAAACAGACAAAGTATGTGTCCCCTTGAAAGATAACCGTTTTAAACATATTCTCCAGCCCGGCTCTCTAGCGTAGTTGGCTAAACCGGACTGCGCGGTGATCGGGTGACGAACTCCTTGTGGTCCGAATTCACTCCCGGGGGTAGGCAGAAAAGCCACATTTTCTCCCAGATGTACAGTACCTATCATGGAATAAAGGCCGAAGGGTTGCGATATCCATAGTACCGAGCCGAAGGGTTAACAACTCATGGTTTCTGGATATAAAAACAAACAAACAAACAGACATATTCTCCCCTTAGATTTATTACACTCATTAAATTAAATATTATTACTGTTTGGAAATTTTCTCCAGGTCACACCGGTGTATTGGGAAATGAGCAGTCAGATAGACTGGCTGGCTCTGCAACACTTTGTGGTGAATTGATGTGTGACTAGTTGGATATTGTGAGGGCCCTTTGGTAGCGAGTGAACAGTGCGGAGGCGTAGATAGATCATTACGGTCTAATAAGAATGGCGCTGCGAGGAGTTACCAGGGGATCCGACCGACGCTCAACACTCAGTGGAAGGATGAGGCGGATATTCAATCAGACTGGTGCCATCGGAATTGGAACTCTTCGCTTGCTGCTGAAGATGGGGACTGAGCACTCATGGAAGTGTCCTGAGTGCTGTGATGTCGATTTTTAATTCAGCATTCAACATTCAGCATTTATCCACAGAACACAATATAAGACCTCTTCTTCTTCACTTCCTCTATTACCGCTGTGGGTGCGAGGGAGATATAAGGTTCTGTCTCTAGCTCTTCTGGCTGCTTCGATCATAGGCACATCGTGCTGTTGTAGAGTTTCTCTGATGTTATCCTTCCATATTGTTCTTGGTCTACCTCGTGCTCTACGTCCTTCTTCTCGTTCCATGAATGCTTTGACTATCGTCTGGAAAGACGGAAAGGTGCCAGCAGTACAATTTGATCTCGGGTGGGATTTATTTGGACAGACGCCGTGGGAAGTTGTGAAACAGGAACAATGGACTGACGTGGTAAATAACGAAAAGACTTTTGAGATCTGGCGTTGCAATTGTCAAAAAAAAAAAAAAAAAAGCATAGTATAGTAAGTACGGGACCTTTTCCACGCTAGCAACGCATTGGAGATTCATGCCAGATACAAATTTTGCAAGACCAATCCGTACACCAATAAAAAGCCATTACTGTCTGTATGTTCCACTTCTGAGGTGTAGGCATTGGCAGGTAATTTGGTACACATCTCTCCGGCCGATTAACTTCCTAGGACATTACCATGTACGCTTTTTAGGCTGCGTCGACATGGTAGCCATGGTCACGTTTGGAAAGAAACAAAACAAGGATTCAATGCGAATTCTTCTTCTTCATCATCTTCTTCTTTTTCTTCTTCTTCTTCTTCTTCTTCTTCTTCTTCTTCTTCTTCTTCTTCTTCTTCTTCTTCTTCTTCTTCTTCTTCTTCTTCTTCTTCTTCTTCTTCTTCTTCTTCTTCTTCTTCTTCTTCTTCTTCGTCTTCTTCTTCTTCTTCTTCTTTTTCTTCATCATCATCATCATCATCATAATCATCTTTTTCATCATCATTATCGTCGTCTACTTCTTCTTTTTTATCAGCTTAGAGTTATTTTCGAATGCTCAGGTCAGATTGCCAAGTGAGTCAACTTTGTGTATTCGATACAGTCATTTTAAGCATGTGGTAGTTAAGCCTCCAATGTGCTGTTGTTATTTTATGTTATGTTATCACAGTCCTCCAATGCAGCAACCACTCCAATGTACCTCTCCTGATTGTTCCTATGAGGAGTCGGTTACAGTATCTACTGTCTTTACCTCGAAGACAACATAGACATATTTCACCAAGCCTAACTCCTCCATCACGCAGTCGTGTTAGCGTCAGAGATTCAGCGTTGATGATATAAGCTCTCTCCATGCTTCCTCTCGTCTGCATTGGTGCATCACCTGCCAGCTGGTCAGCTCTTTTATTACCAGTTACTCCTGTGTGCCCAGGTGTGTAGATCCAGATGATGGAGGTTGACTGCGACTTTGGAATGCTTTCTACCCATTCGGAGCTAAGACTCCCTGTAGCGATTTTTTAAAGCATGTGCACAGAGTCTGAAACGATTACCGAATGTGTGGTCGCTTGTTCTGCTACCCATGCGAGTGCTCTGGAAGCAAGAAGACACAGACAGGAATGCCAGAGCCTGGAGGTATCGGTGTAAGGGGGAAGGATAATGAAACTAATTGGCACCTTGAAACTATTTACTGTTGAGTCTGCTGATGTGGTTTTGTAGATCCTTACTGTCGGTTTGTTCTATCTAAAATTTCCTGTGTTTCCCATTGATAGGCGATTTGATTTCGGGTAATGACAAAGCAAGACAAGTCTACAACCTTTGATCATTTCATGAAAAAGGAAAGAAAAAAAAAACACTGGAGTATATTGTGATGGTGGGAAAGTTGCAGGATAAATAAGGCAGAGCAAGACAGTGTGAGAATATCATTATAATTATTAGGTTAAATGTTACACAAAAACTTGAATATAAAATAACCGTAATGTTAAATCGGTGCGAACGCTTCGTAATGCTGGGATGCCGGATCCGATCCCAGCTGCTGGCCATGCGCCTTGCGTTGGTTTTGACAGTGGTATCAAGAAAGTCGACCGTCCAGGAGCAATGGCAAACTACTGGACGTAAATTTGCCTAGAAAAACCACACAACAGCCAGGGACTGTTGGGATTGGTTCTGCAACGTCCTGTAAAGGATACGCAACTAACCAATACACAGTAAATGGAGTGGGGGGGGGGGAAGCTCTTATGTAAAGGGTAAACATTGCCAGATGTTTACAGGTAATGCTTTAGCACGCCCCCCCCCCCCCACCCACCCAGAAAGTCTTTTTTTTCTGCAGAGAGAGGATGGGGGCTTCAAGGTACATGAGTCTCCCCATTCCTACCCCACTTCTCAGGCTCTGGCATTTTTGCCTTTGACTTCTTGCTTCAAATAAATGCAGACGGAAATAAGCACGGGCAGAGATGATATCATAAATGCTGTAGGGACTAGGTTGGGTGGGGGTGGGGTGGGGGCGAAAATATCTGACGCTAACACGACTGCGTCATGAAGGAGTTAAGTCGGTAAAGCACGTCTATGCCGAGCAATTCAGCTAATGGCCTAATATTACCATACTGGTGTAGCTCAAAACAAAAACTGCTACTACTAAATAATTTTTCAACAGCAGACAGCGAGGACGCAACAGTTTTCATGCTGGTACAAAAGGTTCAGTTTTGATTCTGGGGCGCTATGGCTTCATGTAGATCATATTACCAGCCGTTCGATAATTCTGGAAACGAGCAGGTCCTGGGTGACAACACGAAAACAGACAATCAATGGGCTTTCGTGGCAGTTGATAACGGAGATTTATTCTGATATCTGTATTTGTTGTCACGAGGGGGTGGGGCAAAGGAGGCGCAGTCATTAACTCCTGTGGCAGCGGCCAATGAACGTATGTGGGTTAGGAGCAACGTCGTTTGAATAAATATATTTATCCGTTCGCGTTTTCGTCCGCACACACGCACGCACGCATGCACAGACAGACAGACAGACAGACAGACAGACAGACAGACAGACAGACAGACAGACAGACAGACAGACAGACAGACGGACGGACAGACGGACATGCACGCACGGACGGGACACACACACACACACACGCACGCACTCACACACGCACATACACACACATACACACACACATACCTACCTACCTACCTACCTACCTACCTACATACATACATACATACATACATACATACATACATACATACATACATACATACATACATACATCATACATACATACATACATACATACATACATACATACATACATACATACATACATACATACATACATACATACATACATACATACATACATACATACATACATACATACATACATACATACATACATACATACATACATACATACATACGTACACATATATATATATATATATATATATATATATATATATATATATATATATATATATATATATATATATATATATATATATATATATATATATATATATACATTCATACATACATGTACGCACGCACGCAAGTATGTACGTACGTACATACAAACATATCTACTTACCTAGTTACCCAACAACCTGTCTGTCTACCCACCTACCTACAGCCAGACAGAGAGACAGACAGCAGACATAGTTACATTAGCAATGTCCTCGCTGTCCTTATGTCAAATATCTCATGTAAGTCTTGATGCCACAAGACAATGCCAGTACAGCAACCATACATGAGCTTATATATATATATATGCCACGGTGAAATTTCTTTATAACAACACTATCTGAGCTAATCATTAAAAGAAAATTACAATGCAAGAACCTCCCTAACGAAGCAAAACGTCACAGGAAATTGACCGTGCAAAGATAACCTTTTCTTAGCAAAACGTCACAAGAAATTGGCAATGCAGCAACAACACTGCTTAAGCTAAGTGTTACTAGAACTTGGCAACATAACAACCCTGTCAGAGCAAAAATATGACTAGAAATGACAATGCGACAACCACCCTATCTGAGCTGCAGGTTACTAGAAAAAAAACAACAACAATGCTACAACAACACTGTCTGAGCTAACTGTCACTAGAAATGACTAAGTGACAACGAAACTTAATTTAGCTAGAAATTACAATGCAATAGGTAACTTATATGTGTTTAATGTTATTAGAAAATAAAATACTACAACATTGTCTGAACTAAATGTCTCTAGAAAATGCAATGCGACAGGCAGCCTATCTCAGCTGAAAAATAACAATATTGTAACAACACTGAGCTAATTGTCACTTGAAATGACAAAGCCAAAGGCAACCTATCAGAGCTAAATGTTACTAGAAAATAACAGTACTATCACAGAACTGTCTGAGCTAAATGTCACTAAAATTGACAATACAGCAACCTTGTATAAGGTCTCTCTCTCTCTCTCTCTCTCTCTCTCTCTCTCTCTCTCTCTCTCTCTCTCTCTCTCTCTCTCTCTCTCTCTCTCCCCCCCCCCACCAACAGCCACCCCACCCACCCACACACACGCACGCACGCAAACGTGGTGGTGAAGTACGGACATCTCTCCACAGAAACAAGTGTCAGTATTCCACCATCAGACCAGACACTGACTCGGTCCGAAAATGAAATAGCGTTCTCGGTAATCTGATTTGTGAAACTACAGAGGAAAAGGTTGAATTACGTCAAGCGAACTGACTTGCGTTTTCGAAAATTACTTTAACATGGCAAAAGATTAGAATACTTGGCACTCATCTGAGAGACCCGGAGTTCGAATCATCCCTAAAATGACTTGAATTTTTCTGTCAGAGCAAAAAAAAAAAAAAAAAAGAACAACTCACAAGCATAGTTGACAGCAAAAGATTAGAATACTTGGCACTCATCTGAGAGACCCGGAGTTCGAATCATCCCTAAAATGACTTGAATTTTTCTGTCAGAGCAAAAAAAAAAAAAAAGAACAACTCACAAGCATAGTTGACAGTAACTCAACAACCATGCTTCCCGTGTGGGTTCCGGGATCCTGTTTGTGAGGAAAACAGCTGCCTCACAAACAAACCTGTCGCAACAGTCGACTAACTGGGAGGCTCTCTACGAAGTCGGAGTGCATCTGTTTGAGAGGCAGGGGACCAACAATATGCATACAAATGTCAGATTTGTTAAACGGATCTGCACGCAACACTCAGGTTCTGGAAGAAGACAAGTCCAGAAGTGGACAAACAACCAAAACTTGCCGCTGGAGCTTACAGCCAGTGAACACGAAGAAAAGCCATGCACTCTAATATCAACAGGCGCAGGACCTTCACACTCCGCTTGTGTTGTCCGACACAGTTCACCTATATATGCTATACCAATACACCATATCTCAAACGTCTTCATACATAAGAAAAAATAAAAACCATTTTACGAAAACGTTTTCCTTTTTCATTATATAATATGCTCTACGTTATATCAAGTTGGAAAATTTGACTGTTTAATTTCTGAGGCAAAGAATATGAATTTAGATATTTTGGGAGTATCAGAAACAAGATGGACAGAAGCTAGCTGCCTAAAGAGAGATGATTACATATTTATTAATTCTGGAGGAGAACATCATGAACGTGGAGTAGGATTCTTGATAAAAAGAAATTTAGAGAAGTTTAATAGCGGGTTCTGGGCTCACAATGACAGAATTATATTGATCAAGATCAAGGCAAGACCTTTTGATATTGCAATAATACAGACATATGCACCGACAACTGACTACAGTGATGAACAGCTTGAAGAATATTATGAAGAACTACAACAAACACTGAAAGTTGTAAAATCATCGGAGGTCCTAATAGTTATGGGAGACTTGAATGCAAAAGTGGGGAAAAAGAAGCATAAACATATTGTAGGGCAATTTGGCATGGGATCAAGGAATGACAGAGGAGACAGATTGATACAGTTTTGCGAAGAGAACCAACTCATTATCTGTAATACATTTTTTCAACATCCACCTAGAAAACTGTTTACGTGGAAGAGTCCAGGAGATATAAATAGAAACCAAATTGATTGTGTAATGATTAGAGACAGATTCAAAAACAACATAAAGAACGCCAAAACATACCCAGGTGCGGATATAAATTCAGATCACAACCCTGTGGTAAAAAAAAATACAAATTAAACTTAAAAAAGCAGGAATAAAAACGCAAAAGTCACCCCACATAGACATATCAGCTTTGAAACAGCAAGAAATAAGCCAGCAGTACCTAGTAGAGGTTAAAAATAAATATGACAGATTAATAGTTGAAAGCATGGAACAATATCGATGGGAGAATCCAGAGGACAAAATTAATACAAAATGGGAATGTTTCAAAACTAGTATAGAAATAGCTAATGCCATCTTACCAGTGAAAGAAAACAAGAAAAATCAAGTATGGATGGCTGAGGAAATTATTAACAAAATGACACAAAGGAAGAAAGCAAAAAACGCTCTAGAATATTCATTAATAGACAAAGAAATGCGAAATATGTGTAGAACTGCTAAGGAAACATGGATTCAGTTAAAATGCAAAGAAATAGAGGATCTTGAAATAAAACACAGAACCAAGGAAATACGTGCAAATATAAGAAAACTTACAAACAAGGAAAAACATTTAACAGGAAATGGTTGTATTAGGGGGAGGGATGGAAAAATTATTGTTGATAAGAAAGATATAATAAAAAGATGGACTGAATACACAGAAGACCTGTCTTGGGACAACAGAGGTGACAAACCGCCAATCAATAATATTCAAGAGGGACCAAACATATTAAAGTCTGAAGTAGAGAAAGCCATTAAACAGATGAAGCAGGGAAAAGCTGCAGGTCCAGACAACATAACTGCAGAAATGTTAAAATCATTATCTACTTTTGAAATTGATACTATCACAGAAATATGCAATGACATTTATAACTATGGGTACATACCCAGGGATATCACACTACCCAAGAAATCAAAAGCTGTTAATTGCGAAGATTACAGAACTATTAGCCTAATGAGTCACGTAACTAAGTTACTCTTGAAGATAATACAAACAAGAATTCAAGATAAAATAGAGAAAGAAGTTTATGAAGAGCAATTTAGATTACGTAAACAGTGGTACTCGAGAGGCTTTAATTTGTCTAAAGATGCTGACTGCAAAAAAAAATTTGAAGTTCAGTAAAATATTTATGCATGTTTTATAGATTACAAAAAAGCTTTCGACAGAGTGCAACATGAACAACTAATTGCAGCTCTTCAAAACATAGGACTAGATGGAAAGGATATCAGACTTATTAGAAACTTATACTGGGAGCAAGAAGCAACAGTAAGATATGACAACATCTGCTCATCCCAGATAGAGATCAAGAGAGGAGTAAGACAAGGATGTGTGCTGTCGCCTAGCCTTTTCAACTTATGTACAGAAACCATTTTTAAAGAAATTGTGGAATTACCAGAACTGCACATCAATGGTAGAATAATAAACAATCTGAGATGTGCTGACGACACAGTGTTGCTAGCAGAGAGTGAGCAGGAGTTGTAAGAAATAGTGGAGCAAGTAAACAGAAGGAGTGCAGTATTTGAATTAGATATAAATTTGAAAAAGACAAAAACCATGATATTTAGCAAAGAAAATAATCAGCTAACAATGAATATCACAGTGAACGGGGTGAAATTGGAACAAGTTAAAAATGTCTTATATCTTGGACAAGTAATAACATGTGACGGCAGAAGTGAAACAGAAGTCAAGAAAAGAATAGGGATGGCCAAAAACATTTTCAACAACATGCAAAAGTTATTGACATCAAGAGAAAAAAGCAATACATTAAAAATGAGAATTGTCAAATGTTATGTATTCTCAACCTTACTGTATGGCACAGAGACATGGACAATGAACAAACAACTGGAAAATCGTATAAATTCTTTGGAGATGTGGATATACAGAAAATTAGGTCGTATTTCATGGAAACAAAAGCTATCAAATACAGAGGTACTGAGAAAATTGGGAATGAAAAGAGAGTTGCTAGGGGAAATAAAAAAGAGACAAGTGAAATATTTTGGCCACATTAAAAGACATACCAGTATTGTAAAGATCATCCTAGAGGGAAAGGTTCAAGGTAGTCGAGAAAAAGGCAGACAGCGTTACAAGTGGGAGGATAACATGAAGAGATGGACGAACAGCAGTATGAGTGAGTGTACATCAAGGGCAAGAGACAGGGCTTGTTGGAGATCCATTGCAGCCAACCTTTATTGTGGAAACGGCACCTGATTGATTGAATATGCTCTAAGTGACTACGGTGCTTGGAAAACATTTTTTGATGCCTATCATCCACAGAACACGCATAATCACAACTGGAGTTATGCTTGTATTGGCGTTTATGATATGTTTATGTTTTCAATTTATGGATCGAAAACATTAAAGATAATCTACACCACTGGTTCTCGACCTTCTTAATGTCGCGAGCCTTTAGTACATTTTCCTTATGTAGTAGCGACCCCCAAACAATTATTTTCCTTCATAACTTCAATAAGTATATGTTTCACGATGGTCTTAGGCGACCCCTGTGATAGGATCAGTCGACCCCTACAGAAAAAGGGTAGCGACCGGCATGTTGAAAACCGCTGCTCTTTACCTTCACGGCATCACAATAACCTGTGGCAGCCGTCATGCAATGAATCACAAATTGTTCCTCCCCACGCCGCTTAACAGCAGAAGATGATGATGAGCATAATAGTCGTGCTAGTCACCTTTTCCACTAACGAACCTGCCACACACACACACACACACGAACGCACGCACGCACGCACACACACAC